AGTATCTTATCGTAATAACTAAATTATATAGCATTTATATGACAAATCATATTGAAGACAACATGCATAAACATTTATTATGCAGAACATGAGGTGAGATGAGACAAGAACTAGTCCCCACCATAAGCAGCACTTTTTATACAGTAGTGCTGATAAACTGAAGCAGTCAGGCTAAATTGCCTCTACAAGCCAACTGGCACCTCTGGAGTTGTCCTGATAGACCACAAGAGAGAGTTTCTTCAGGAATTTCATTACATCTAAATTAATTTTACACCACATTTTTTATTCCTATTATGCTCAGAATTATGCAGAGACAGTGCTTACTACTTCATGTGAGGTTACCTTTCAAAACTAATGATAAAATTTATGTTGGAGGAGCAGCACATTTAGCTCTCTCCTAAAAATCTTGCTACAATTACTTTGCAGGATGCTGTAAAATCAATAAAACACCATTATCATAATGCAACAATTTTCTGTGTATTCTTCCTGTGGCTGGTCATCTCACTTTCCTTTTAAGATTGTATCTTCCTCCTCTGCTTCAATGCTGTTGTTACCACATTTTTCTGGGCTCTAATATGGGCAAGATGTACTGCTGTCCCTAAGTACAAATCTTCCTCTGTTATCTGTAATGGAGGCTAAATAATTTGTCTGGATTATGTCATCATCTGGGTTAACTCCAAGGTAACTTGAGTATATATAGGATAAGGTCATCTAGTATTTGACTATGTTTGTCTTGGAGTTTTCTAACACCTGCAGAGTGCAGAAATTTCTTCTTTTATATCATTCTTTGTTTTTCTTCCTTTCTTCCACTTCTACATACAGATGTAGATACTCATCTATAAAAACACAGGCCCCATACAGAAAACTTATTTTCCTTTAATACTTGGGGAGGTGGGACAGAGGCACCCCGACTGATACTCACATAATGCTGACATAGATCAGTTCTAGGTTAAGGTGCCATGGTGGGAGGTCTCTCATGAGCTCAGCTGATCATGAGAGACTGTGCCATAAAAGCAACAGAAATACTACAGCTGTTAAAATGGGAGGAATGGACATAGCAGTATGTTTCACTTCTGCACTGCTGAACAGTTAGTGCCAATGTCAGTGCAGAGGTTCTGAATTTTCTACTGTAGCTAACACTAGAAAGTGCAGTAAAATAAGGAAATTAGAAACATGCTGCTGCTGCTTTCAAAATAAAGATTTTACTAAAAATGTATCATAAATGTAAAATCCCACAATATTCAAACATTAAAACCAGGTCAGATGTTCCAATATGCAGGAAATTCAGTGAGATATCTTCATCCCTTTTTCATGTACTCAGTACTACCTGAATCCAAAAGAAATTTCTTGAAATGAATGTTCATCATTGCCTCCCAAACCCCACCGGACACTTGATATGCAGTTTGCAGCTTTCTAGAGCAGAAGGGATAAAATCAAAACTGAAATGAGTCACAAATCTTAATTGAATTTTTTTAATAGCATAATTTTCAACAGTGACTATTTCATGCTTTCAAATTAATTTTAGTATAGTCGAGCTTATATTTCTACATTAACCCTCTTTATATTTTGAGTATATTTGTGATTTTACAGATATGTGGGCATGGGGGAGGGGGAGTTGATTTTTTTTCCTTATTAGCTTTTTAATTGTTTGATTTCTGCATCAATCAATAAATGTGTCAAAGTTACTATTATGCTAATTCAGAATATTTTTTTTTATTTTCTTTTTAATCTGGGTTATTTGATAACAAGGAAAATCCATTGCCATTGGAGGAGCAGGAAAAATAAAATAAAAAAAAATTCAAATAATATGAAATATTTTTTCTACTGATTGAATTTTGAGTATTGTTTAACTGAGTCATAGTCATTGTATCCACTTTCAGACAAGAGCATGATATGGAGTATTGCTGAGAGAATTAATTCCTAGTGCAACTGTCATAGAGAGTTGATAACTTTTTTCCAATCTTTATGACAGCATCTTTAGTAGTAGTATTATATAATTCTTTCTGAAGACATACCATATACTTTCAGAAGTATTATCTTCTTGAAACATTTTTATATTAGCAGACAATACATGGACAGAGAGCAATATTCCTGTAATGGGCATGGCTGTATTTCAACTGCTCTGATTAACTTGCCATATGAGTACATTAAATAATTTTTAAAAGCGTGTATCTAAGGTAAGATTCATCATAAAGTAGATAAGATGGTGGGGCAGTTGGAATGAGATGATGTTTAAGGTCCCTTCCAACCCAAGCCATTCTATGATATTATTCTGCTCCTCCCAGGCTGGCAGCCACCTTCCCAGGCATCTACCAGCTCTCACCCTCAGCAAGCACCTTCCTGTACCCTCCCGCCCCTTTCCCTCCCTTCCCTTCCCTTCCCCTTCCCTCCCCAGCATTTGTGTTTCTCATCACATTTTCATCTGTGTCTTTTTTCTCCTAACTTGGATGATTTCACGTCCTTGTTTTAAACTGCAGTTATAATCAAATCAGAAACTTGCCTCTGTGTTCTTTGTCTCCAATGTACTTTCATTAAAACTACAGCGCATGGAGCTGAATCTGGGACAGAATAAGAATCTGTAAAGTGTCCTTATTTCAACATTTGTTTTACCTTGAGAAATATATTTTTGTCTAATCTGTTGCTCTATAATCATCTCAGAATTCAGTTTTCCCCTTTGTCTTCTAACTTCTGCAAACATTGCTGCTGTCTCAGTCTTAGCATATCTCCATAGAAATTAGAGTGACTGTCCAGTTATTTCCTACATGACATTAATTTTAGATATTCTAAACTTTGGTATATTTTGACATACCTGAGTTCTTTCACCTGTTTTCCTGTTTATTGAAGCTTAATTATTATGTTGTTCAAATTCAGACAACTAACACAGTTTCATTTCATTTCTTAGATATTAGGAATGCTTGCAACAGAATTAAGCTAAAATTAGATTGTAGTAACTCAATTTTTGCTTCTAATCATTTGGGAGGCTTTTTTTTTTATATAATTCATTAAGAATTAAATTATGCTTATTTGTTCACAATATCCCTCTGGCCTTTAATATCTTGAAATATATTAATCATACCCTCACCTCCAGAGAACAAGCCTTTGTTTTATGTGAATTTCTCCTACTATTCTCTAGACCCTGAAAGATAATGATCACTTTTTTCTGCCCATTTTTCTCTCAGTACCAGTCAAGGACGCTGAATTTCCTTTTTGAAGAAGGGACTTGTGCTAAATTACTATCACAGAAACAGAATGCACACAGCAGAAACTGACAAATTGTGGAAGAATTTGGATAAAACATGCATTCAAGCTTTGGCTCAGTGGTTTTTCTTTTAATGAACCCAGTTCTCAGATATTTTAAACCTGTATGTCAAAGGCTTTTGGCCTTTGCATCAGTTTGTTAGCTATTTAGGAAATTTGCATAAAGGCATATGGTCAAACTTTAAAACAGGTTGAGGTCAAAACTGTTTGATACAAGTCCTTGTGATTCAATTGTTTGGTTTTGCAGGGGGTTTTGGTTCTCTTTTTCTTTTTTACTAACTGCACATTTTACCAGATATTGCTCAGAAATTGAGAAAGATGTTCAGGAACAAAAAAATGCATGCATGCAGTCCTTCCTATTTTTATAGAACTATTTCATTAAATACTTACCATCTTGTTATATTCAGAGCTATGAAAATATCTTTTTCCTCACAATAGTTATTCTTCATTTGCTTTCTTTTGTTCCAGTTTTATTCTCTTGACTTTGCACCCTGAATACATTGCCTTGCCCTCTATCTTGCTTTTTCTTTAAATCAGCTTCATTTCTCCCATGTCCTTGTGGAAAACACTTTTTTTCCTATACTAAGATTGCCTAAGACTGTTTGCCTCACAGTGTAACCTCTCATATTAATTTGCACAGAGGTGCTGCCACTCATTTCATACTAACCAGTAGTGAAATGGTCAACATCCAGTTACAGAAATGCTCTAACACTTGTGACCATGCTCACATATTCTTTGGGAGAACAAAATATTTCCTTATTATCCTTTTGGATAATGGAAAAGGGTTGCTAAGCTGGCCTTGCTCCTGGGACAAAGGTACCATCTAGAGCTCCCTGTGCTCAGTTTTTTGTGGGACACTTAGGGCAAAAAATGCCAGGTTAGGGCCAGCCTGGCATCTTCTTTCTTCTGGAGATAGCCAGGGAGCTCATCCATCCCAGCTGGCCTGTTTCATCTCCAAGTCAGCCAGGCCAGTTCGATGTGACACACGCTGTTGCTAGCAGGTTTTCTTTTAAGGAATTGGCAGCATATCAACTATGAATTTATTTCTCCAGTTGTGTTGGAAGATCAATAAATTACAGTAGTCAGACAAAAGTCAGTCATATTTTAGACTGGCCTGGCTGTTTCTTCTATAGTGTAATAAAACTTTGATGAGGATGAATACCAGTTGTAAATTTACTGTGGCCTATTCAAGACAAAGAATAAAAACAGAGCTTTTTAAAAATACATCTGTTCAAAAGGTAGGCATACTTTAGTTTGGAGAGAACTGAAACAGAGCTGAAACCTTCTTCTTACCTTCTTGCATTATTATGCCTATACTTAAAATAATTGATTGCTTGTTTACCTTAGTCCTGACCTCCAAGGTAAACTACAAAAAGGCTACTCAGATTAAAAAGTTCTACTGCATCAGACACATTTAAAACACACAAAAAACCCCCAGCTTAGATACACTCAGTTTCTGATGTATATTTTCAGACTTAAAGCAATTATTCAGCAAAGGAGAAGTATTACCATGAACTACAGAGAGAAATTTTATAAAGAGTTTGAGTTAGCAAAGCTGATATAATGCACAGCATGACATTAATGTGATCAAAATTTGTTGCACAAGACATAATGCAGCATCAAAAATAAACATTGCCTTTGCTTTATTTTCATATATATTGTCCAATATTTTTCCCAGGACCAACCAGCAGTCTTCCACCACTATCCCCTACACCCCGATTCTTCTCCCTAATGCCTTCCCTTCCACCACATACCCCCATCTCACTTTTCTCCTGTATTAACTCCTGAAAACAAGTCTCCCTTTAGATTTGTTGACAAGCACTCACCAGCTCTGTCTTGGGAGGAGTAGCTGCACAGGTCTTTACTGCAGTGCTGGTAAGGAGAACAGCAGACAGTTTAAGAGCACAGACCCGAGATGTTAATTCATAGTAGGAGTTAGAACTGAGGTGCTACTAGCCTATTGCTATTTGGCTTGTACAGAAGGCTAGGGTCAGTTTGCTTGTTGCAGGTACACCAGCTGAAAAAAAATCCTTAAGAAAATTAATTACTTAATTAATTGTGTCTTTAAGGATGTTTCAGGATTTTAAATTCTAAGATTTAAAATTTCTCCTGTAGGCACAGATGGAAACAATGCTGTCACTGCATTGGCAGTGGCACTGGTTGCCATTAGTAACAGATTGAGCCTGGTAATCAGACTGGACTACTAATGGCTGCAAGTACACTTTGCCTAACCAGTACTGGCAGGAGGCTTTCCTTACAGTGATAAATGTACAAGCTGTGACTTGCACTTCATTTCCAACCTTGGCAAGCTAAAAGAGTCTGTTAATGAATGAAGACATCTTTAAGCATGCGGTTGTATGCCAACAGCACTTGGTAATCCTCCATATTCATCTTATTTCATTTCATTTACTATTCCACTTGTAATCAAGCAATAAATAAACTACTGATGCTTGGCCAGCAATGCCCACATGACCTTAGAAAATGTTTGAAATCTGAAAAAAAGCAAAATATGTCTGTCACTAATATTGCTTTCATTTTCAGTTCAACATGCAGATAAACAGTGCATTTGAAAGTCATTCTGAAAATAAACTAGAAAAAACTCAATCAAAACTTGTATTTATTTTAAAATATGATAGACCCAAAAAAAAGCAAAAAAAGCCATTTGGAAATGGCTATTAGGACTAAATGTTCAGCGCAAGGTATTTCTGATACAGCATATAACAGAGTATTTAAACCCAATAAAATGCAGTAAACCTCTGAAGTTTATTTATTGTGATATTGACATGAAAGAGGCTAAATTTATAGAAAGCTGGAAACCTTTGGTTGGTTGTACAATTCTCAGTACTGAAGGTAAAACTGTTTCTCTTCTTTTGTGTTAAGGAGAAAGCTAAGCAGATTAAATAAAGATCTACTAAAATTCAGTACTCATCCCTGTGTGTCACCCTGATACATTTTGTCTTTTTCTTCAGCAGGAAGGAAAGGCAAAAATAAAAGTATTTTCCCATTCCTTGTTTTGCCTTGAAGGAACTGAGTTGCTGCCATTCATTAGCTCATCTGTTCTTTGACTAAGGAAAATTAGCAATTATTACTACTGCTTTTCATCTTACAGCACAATTCAATTTCACAACCCTTCTTATAACTTCATTATTATTTCTTCCCATTTTATAATTTAATTAAATAATGAACAGTCAAGAATTATTGTTTTTCTAGCTTTTAATGATCTTTTTTGAAACTTCAAAACTACTTTGAAACTACAAACTCATTGTGGTAAAATAACTGTCATAAGAGATGCTGCAAAGTTCACCTCACATTTACATTGCAGTCCTTAGTTAAATTCAAATATTCCAAGTACCTAAAAATGTTACAGAAGAGCTTATGGAAAATGAAGGGATCTTTTTCAACACATAACTAGTAACTAGAAATGAGAAAGCTTCCCCACATCTTCAAACTTAAGTGAAAGAGAATTATCGGTCCTTAAAAGTCAGTTCTGCAGGGAACATTCTGGCTTGCATGTTTGTTTTTTGGAAGCAGATTTCAATCTTTTTGATAAAAACACAATCTATGATAGAAATTTAAAAAACATTTTTACCATAACAGACCACTTAGAGGTCACCTAAATCATGAACATTGTGCATAATATACACAACAGATTGGAAACTGATATATATTCTTCAAGCTGTTTGAAGAAAATCACCAGAAGCAAGGGCAATTGAACTAAAAATAAAATTAAGGGATATAAAACCCAAAATATAGTTTATGCAAACCCCAAGTGAACTATTTATAAGTGCAGTCAGCTCAGAAAAGACCTGTAACTCCTACATTTTTCTTATTTTTTTATGAGCTTCAGCAAATCTGAATAGATTTCTTACCTGCTAGATGTTTGTTTCTCCCCTCTGCAGGCACATAGCCAGTATTAGTTTCTTCCTGATTCTTTTTCAGATATAAAGAATCAGTAAAATGGTTTATTTCCCTCACTTGCCACCAAAATGTGTAATTTTTTTTCACAAAAGTACTTAAATATTTCTGTAGATGAATTGATGTATAAACAATGACTTCATCCACCAGACAGCTAATAGAATGTCTCCATAACTTATTCTGCCCTGGATTTCTGATCAATTCTCACAATGGAAAATTCTTCTGTAATTGGAGGTTTTGGCTTGATTAGGCAGTGTTTTCGTACTTAGCTGAAGAATAAGGTTCACTGCTGAAGTGAGACACTGTCGTAGCAGTACTCCCCACTAAAGGCAGTGACATCAGTGTTGGTTTGTTCAGGATTGTTGGGGGGGACGGGTTTGCAATGATGTATAAAAAAGAAAAGAAATTTGGGATTGGTTTTATTTCATTTGTTGGTTTTACTTTTTATATTTTATCCAGATTATTTTGTGCTTATGATATTTAGTAAATATCTTGATTAATTGCAGTGCTGAGAAGACACATTCTGCTGCATTCAATGACCCATAATGTTTTGATCCAGATTCCTAGGGATACTGAAGAGATACTCATGGAGAGAGACAGAGGAGGAGAGAGACAGGACTCGTTAGGAGGTAAAAAATTAACTAATTTGAACCAATAGGAATAACAATAATGACATTTTTGAAAATGTATCAGTTTAAGTGGGGTTCTAAGGAAATGTGTATGCCTCTCAATTTTTTAGTGTGCAAGTCTGCCTGTGGCAATGTAAATACATTTTTTTTCTACAAAAGGGAAAGTTTGGAATTTGTTGTTATATAGCTTCTGCAACTTACTGATAAAAAGCTGTCCATCAAACAGGTTGGTGACGTGGACATATCATCTCACTGTTGAGCTATTAACAACACAGATTGATTACATTAAGAGTGTAGAAAGATAGCTTATCTTTGAGCTGTAGAATTTTATGTGACTGAAAAAGAGAGGGGAATTCAAAAAAGACTTTTGTCAGGCTTGAAATAGATCACTCACCCCAGGGATTTTTCTGCGGACTTGTAGTGTTGACCTCAGTTGAATTAGTTGAATCAGTTAATCTCTCTGAACCTTCATTCAAACCAAAAGGAAGAGAATAATAAGATCTATTTAATGTAAATTTTAAAGACTTAATTTTTAAGATTTAAAATTTAGGGTGTGACCTTTATTCTAGCAGTGCCTTCAGGTATTTGTGACCTTCTGGATAGAAAGTATATTATGAAGTCAATATTCCTCAACATATACATTTCCTCTTAAGATTAACTCTTTCCCATGATCAGTAACAGCCTAGAATGTTGCTCTTAAAATGTACAGTGAGCCATGAAATTTCAGCAAATCTATCAGTTAAGAATGAGCTATTCACATTGAATTATTCTATTGATTTCCCTTTCTGAAAATTTACAAGCTCCTTTAACATGTGTTGTACATATGGAGTGCACACTCCAAAATCAAATTTGGCAGGTTTCATCAAGCAACTATAAATTAAAGAGGCAAAGTGAAATCAACTTAATCTCCTCCATTCTTCTTTCTCACCCACATATGCCTTTGTAGTAGAAATATTCTGTAGGTGCCCTTTAAAATGAAAAAAGCTTTGACGAAAGAAAAGCTTTGTACGTGGCATAAATTTAGACTGGAAAGCATGAAAACCAACAAACTGTATAGGGTATTTATTCACAAGGAAAAACTGTTGTAGTGGGAGTGAAGGAACTCTCAGTTATCTGAAAGAAATCATTCAGCATCAATTTACAAAAATATTTTTTCACATTGTAAATAACTGCTGTAATATGGAGCTGCCAGAATGTTTTCTCAGATAAATCTTCCTTTCAGAGATCTGATCATAAACGGGACCCCAAAATGTATCTGCTGACTGAATGATAAAAGTATGTTTAGTAGCAATATAGTCACAATGTGAGAATTAACCTCAAAGTCAAATTCTTTTTATTTAGCAAAATGCTTGCCATTGTTTCTATTTCATCTTTTGCTTGGTACATGAACACAAAAAGAAGAAACCAGCTGAGTGTTTAAATATTTAACAAAGCAAAGTGATAGAATACCCAAGCTATCTATAAAGGTCTGCTTATTTTCACAAGCAAAAAATAATATCTAGGTTAGAACACAGTGCAAAGTTATTGAGAAAGACATTATGATTTCTATTTTCTGTGAATCTCAGTTGGGCAAGCATTTTAGACTTTTTTCTAATTAACTTTTTTTTTTTAATCTTAGCTGCTAAACAGTTTCAAATAAAGATAATTCACCCATCAAAAAAGAAAAAAGAAAATAAAAACTCATATTGAAGTTAAACCTAATACCAAGTCTAATCTTTAATTCCTCAGTGTTTATGTCCAGTCAAGCAGATTTTTCTAGCAGAATTTAGTCATTTCCTGAACTTCTCTTTCAGTGTATCTGTCAGGACAGGATACTGATATCCTGGCATGTAAGGTATTCCTTTGCTTTATCCACGGACCATGGTAGATGCAGGTTTTGGTTCCAGTAAGGGTTGACAGATGCTTAAAACTTAGACAAAACAATGACTTTTTTTTGTGTAGCTACCAAATCAAACATCCATCCTTGCTTTGGCTCAGACATTTCATACACATCTTAGAAGAACAATTTAATTTCTAACAGTGGGATTATAGCAGGATTCACAAAAATTTAGTACATATGTTTAAGGCGTGAAAAATATGCGCTTCAAATATAGATCATGTCAGAGGCAGACCCCTCTCCCTAGTTAGGATTCAAAGGAGCAGAAGCAAGGTGACTTAACTTACCTGGACTATTTTTACTTACACACAGGCTGACCCATTTAAAACTAGACAGCTTTCTAGTTAATTTAATTCCAAGCCTATGCCCCGAGCTTGAGTGTAAGAGACCTGGGTTCACTCTCTTCTCTGCTTGAGAAGATCTGAATTCTTACCTTCCAGGAGAATATCCCATAAGATATTCATGAGGGTGGAAAATATTTTCCCCCTCCTATTCCAGCCTGAAAGCTGTTCCACTTTGCAATAACTAATTAAATATTCAGTGCACCAAAAAACCACTAAAGTTGAGAGCAATTCCTTAGCCAAGGGCTATGGGTACCTCCCTTAAGATGAAGTGTCACAAATCTAGTCCTTGCTCTACTGAAAACCTTGACATGGTAATCAAGGAAACAAGAACTACAAAATTTGCTCTCATGAGAGTGAACTGCTCTACACAAAGCAAAGGAAATAGGACACATCCTCTTTCCTTAGGCACAAGAGTATTTATTTTAGAGATGCACGTGAAATGTTTTGTTGAGCTTCTTCACGCAAAACTAAAAATTGACTTTGGGACTCCAGGAAGTCAAAGGAGCAACCACAGAGTGGTGCCACCATGAGCTTCCTATCAATGACCTCTGAGCTGGAATAACATGTGGAAATTGCATATTTAGCCACTTACCAAGAATAGGTTTGCAGAATAAAAATGGTTATCTAATCTAGAAAATTAATTATTTTGCTATTTAAATAAATTACTGATGGGGTTGGAGGTTACAGATCCTAAGGGTTATTGTTTGCTTGGAGCAAAGTAACTTTAAAATATTTCATTCTTTTTTTCTATAGTATTAATAATTAAGTGGTGATAATTAACATAGAAATATGCTTTTCCTTAAAAGCCTGATAGAATAAAATTATTTGTTAATTGGTTAACTATAGTAATGATTAATAATAAATAAAGCCAATAGTATTTCTCTCCTATTGTTATCATATGTGTCCTTTTAGCAATTTATAATGGACATTTGGGTTAGTTGTTCTAACTAGTGGGTTGGGACACTCTTGTTAAACATGTACTAAGTGAAACCAATCTGGCAATATGTCCTTTACGTGACATGTACCACAAGAACATTCCCACCCGTAGAACGCAGAGAACAGGCTGTTCTGCCAGTGCTACATCAAAATCTAATTGACTGGGAAAACCACAGAATTTTAAAGTATTGTAGCCATTTGTACCCAGAAGCTATTTTTCCTTGCTCCTGTGGTTACTATTATATTTTTAAACTAAAACAGCTTAACAAATGATGGATGACCAGGGAAGCTGTAAAGCACTACACGTATAGTACAGAACATTTATTGCTATAAGGTAAAGTCTGTGGTCAAATCTTAGAAGACTGGAATAATTTTTTGACACCCGAAAGAAGTCATAAGAGCAAACCAGAATTTCCAGGGTTCTAATGGATATCCTAATAAAGACACACATTTTTGCTGGCATGTTTTGGTGCAAAGAAACTGTCAGCAAGGTCCATGCCTAACCTCCTTGTGTATTACAGACCAGTTCTCTAGATACCACTACAGTGGTAAGATAGAAATGTTACAATGTTACAGTCTGATAGTAGGATGAATATGCCACTACTCTTCACATTGGAATAGCTAAAAGTGATGCCAAAATTGATTTACATGTATGTCATCTTGACTGCAGCCCCAGAACAAAATTAAGGAGCCATAAATGAGGAAGTGGAGAGAGAGAAGAAACGAAGGAACAGAGGGAAAGAAAAGATAATCCTTTACTTAGGAGTTAGTTTTTGTATAAAAGGATGAAAAATGTAGAAGAGCCTGGGGCAAGAAGAAATCAAACATAAGTTCAAAGACAAGAGGTTGATCTTATTTATGATTTTTGGGATTTATCTATCTAATAGAAAATGCATCAGTGGTTATGTGGCTGGAATTTAAGTGACTGACTAGTAAACCATTGTGTTTTTTGGGGACTTTGGACAAAAAATTATTAGAGCTTATCGAGGAGAAGAAGGGAAAGACCAACTACATCCTAAGCTACTCTACAGCTGTAGCAGAAGAAGTGGTTTCAAAGCGTTCTCATTCTCAGATCTGGTAGATTATTCCGTTTTGCCAAGTGGTTTTATAAGTGTGTTTGGCTTTAATCCCTGATTTTTTTCTTTCATAAAGGCTGGTTTGGAGTGGGAAAGTTCTTTTATTGAGTGCTCCACTGGAACATGTTTCCCTGGTATGGGAATAAAACATTTTAAATTTTTGTATTCTTCTCTACGGAATTAAAGAAGAGCTATCATAGAAAAAAAACCTTACTATTTCAATTTTCAGAGATTGTCATCTTTAATATGAGTTTCTATAAACAAGGGTATATTAAATTCATGGCCTTAGTTCTCCATAAGTATGGTGCTGAATTTAAGTTCTATTGTTTTTCCTTTCTAATAGAAATCAATTTTAATTTTCACCCCAAAATTACTTTTGTCACACATTTGATTAACTGATTTATTGTTCACTGTTAATGCTGTAATGTGACACATGTCATTGTTTAATGTGGCTTGATCATTTAGGACTTCTTTGTGACGGTGCTGAGCATACTCCCAATTTACCAAAAGCATTTGACCATGGAAACAAAACCTCTATTAATAAAGAGGAAAACTACCTATGTAGTTAACATTAAGTCTCTTCAAAGCAAACAAACAACAGCAATACTTCCTTGTTTTAATGGAATCCATACCTAAATATAAATCTTAAGCTGAAATGAACACTCAGGAATTTCAGAAGTTCAGCTTCACTATTTTTTTTTCTTAATATGTTACCATATTTCATTAATTCTTTTTTTCTTTCTTTCTTTCTTCAGACATCTTTTACTTGGAAGTAGCAATGCTGCAGCCAATACTGGAGTAGTAGGGGACTGAAATATAAATCTTGTGGAGATTTGAGGAAGACAGAGGCCTTTTATTTTATAAAATATCTTTCTGAATTTTCTTTAAGTTATATATATATAATATATATTTACTTTCTTAAATGAACAGGTTTGAAATATGAAAGGGCTTTTTCAGTCCCCTCACCGTTCATCTTTCTCACAGGGTTGACTAATAAGTTATGAATTGAATTAGTTTACTTGATAAGAAATCATCCTCAAAAGAGAAAGAATGGGTTGTTCCTAAATAAGAGCTGTAGCTAATTAAATATACATAATTTCATTCTTTCATTTTCTTTGGCAAAGCTTTGCAAGACTTAATATTACTTTAATCAATAAATTTAAAGTGAAGCAATAAAAATTTAAATTAGTTTTGAAAAATGGAAATTAAGTGAATACT